TCTACCTATCTACCTATCTATCTATCTATCTATCTATCTATCTATCTATCTATCTATCTATCTTCTATCTATCTATCTGATGGATTTCTACTAGTTGTGTGCAAAATGATTCATATTTAAATCATTTCGAGTTCAGAATGCTGCAGAGTATTCCAATAATATTCTGACCATTTTGGAAGGTTCTGAATCAAAACAGCTCTGTTTCAAGCTTAAAACAGAGTGCCTTTTCAAGCTTGGAATACTTCTAGCTATTTTGAGTTTAAAACATTTTGAATTTAATTTGCACACACTTCTTTTCTTTCTACTTACAGTGACATGTAGCTCCTGAGAATATGGGGCAACTCTATGTAGCATTTCACAATTCATTTCCAACAGCAAATTGTACAAAAGGTCTGTAACAACTTCCTGCTACCTATTTCTATAAATCTGAATCAAAGCTTTTGCTAAACTATTTGTAGAAACATTCTATTGGCATACTCAAAATATATTCCTCTTCTGCTACTCTCAGGATCTTTTTGCAGGAATTATATGCAAGTCCCAATTAATCAGATAAGAATGTAGTGGTATCTAGTAATATTATTTAACTATGGTGAATTTATATGGTTAAAAGGGCTTACAGGAAGATTTTGAGAGAGAGTCTTGTATTTTTCTGTCAATTTTCTCTATTCAGTGCTTAATAAGCTGTCACATACTGATTAGTTCCTTTCTACAACCTTAACACAAAAACAGGTATTGCTTCTTAGAAACTCTGCCCATTAGCAGATATATTTACAAATGAAAATAGCTGGTCTATTTCCACCACAATCCATCTTAAGGATTTTACAATTGAACCTTTTACCTAGAGATCAGAAAAATGCATTTTCAAATTTTAAAAAATCCTCACATCTCATGCAGTTGGGTAAGATCCAGATTTGATTTATTATCCCACATCTATAGTACAGAGAGCCAGTCTGGTGTAATGGTTAAGGCACCAGGCTAGAACCTGGGAGAGCGGGACTTCTAGTCCTGCCTTAGGCACAAAGCCAGCTGGGTGGACTTGGGCCAGTCACTCTCTCTCAGCCCTAGGAAGGAGGCAAGGGCAAACCACTTCTGAAATCTTGCCAAGAAAACTGCAGGGACTTGACCAGGCAGTCGCCAGGAGTCAACACTGACTTGAAGGCGCACACAGAGACACACACAAAGTTAAACCTGCTGGCAAGAAAGTTACATGGATACTTCTGTGAGATCATCCAGAGTTGAGTTTCAATTCCACATTCCTGACTTTACTATAAGTTGAATGAAATCTGAAATAACGGAAACGTACAAAGCTTGAGAGAGCCAGTCTGGTGGAGTGGTTAAGGCATCAGGCTAGAATCCGGGAGACCGGGAGTTCTAGTCCCGCCTTAGGCACAAAGCCAGCTGGGTGACCTTGGGCCAGTCACTCTCTCTCAGCCCCAGGAAGGAGGAAATGGCAAAGCACTTCTGAAAATGCCAAGAAAACTGCAGGGACTTGTCCAGGCATTCACCAGGGATTAAGACTGATTTGAAGGCGCCCCCCCCCCTCCACACAAAAGGTTAGAGAAAGTAGCAGGGTAATAATTTCATTTTTCCTTAATGAAATATACAATAAATACAACATTAGTATTTATATCTGTAATTCCTAGTATCAACATGGAGGATAACAACAGAGTTGATCAAAAATCCCCAGCACCATTTCAGTGCAACCACTGAAAAAAGTAGCACCAAGAACAGTATGGCTATATTATTTGCTGCAGCTCCATTAAAAGAGTTTCCACAGAGCAACCAAAGCAGTTCAGTACCAGAGCTGAAATGGATTTTGAAACAGAGTCTATGCTAGAGTACACATTTTTAAGAAGGCCACTACCACAAATTCCCTTTTTCCCCAGACCAAATATATTAACAGTCTATTATTCCTTTAGGTTACATATACAGTAGAAATACTTTCACTTCTTCTATTTAAAGCTTCACTGTTGTGAGTTTTGGCCTGCTCAGCGCAAAAAAAGAAGTCAAATACTTAAACATTCCAGTTGTCATGCCAGTAACTATGGAGAACTTGCCTCATCTCATCTTCCTGGCTACAATGAAGGAAAAATGTTGTCTTGAAACGGGATTAACGGACCTTGTTCCAAAAGAACATGTATTCAACTCTTACAACTCTTTCACAAGTTGATTAATTTTCATCTGCATATGGCATATTTCATATGGGAGAATGCATGTTACACTAAGCCATTAGATTGGTTAGTGACAAACACCCCTGCAAACGGTCTGACAAATAACAGGTAACTGTAATTAAATTAGCCAAATTTAGGGTAATGTATGAACTCAGAAATCTAGCTTCATTTGGCTGGAAGAAACCAGGCAGATGAAAACATCACTTGCTTAAGATAAAATTCTGTGCCTTCTTACAGGCATTAATAACTCATGCTAAGCCTGCCTAACCAAACTGGCTACCTCATTAGCCATAACCCACTCATGGCCAAAGCCAACAGGTGTACATGAGCACATTCGTTGCTAAACCAGCTGTATAGGAGGAATTGAAATATGTGAGGTATGCAGAGATAAAAAGTATTCTATTTCCCTAAAGTTGCACATTCCAAAAACTAATCCAAATATTTACAGGTTGTCATGTACAATACAATGACAATCACATAGATACAATAGTCGGGGGGGGGGGGGAGGAGGAAGTATTCTTTTCCCAAAAGATCTACTCACACTGTTTCAGGGAATCTTTCTAGTTATTTATTCCCAGAATTACATGCACTCCATAACTGCAGTTGCCTATAAGGATTCCACACTTCTTCTAGACATCCTAGGAGCTAGAAATGTTTTTTCCAAATCTAGGAGAGAGAATACCAACTGAGTTCTCCCTTGGAAAGTTTCACCTTGGCAGAATTCCATATGCTGTGGAAACTTTCAGATTCTACAACGCACTCCAACCACTCCCTTGTGATTGTTCAAAAACTGCAGTTGATCCAAGAGTATTATCTAAATTAGGCATCAACTGGTTCCAATGATAATTTGTCATGTTAGTCCTTGTAACCTAAAAGGGGGGTAGGAATTGGGCTATAATCAGCAAAACAAAAAAGTGACTCTCTTATTTTTAGTGCACTATCTCGCTTCTCAAACATCTACTGGGATATAAAGGCAGATTTATAATCTTTAGCTGCTGCAACAGTGTAAATTCCAAGGGAAAATATGAGGAAACTTCTACCATGGGCTTTTTCAGATTGGAAAGTGTGGGTAACCAGAGTTGTATAGCAGAAAACACCATCAACAGCAGTAGTAGCACTTCCACCATTTTCAAAAATAAAGCTCAAAAATATCACCCAGAGAAATCTGAAAGAAATTCTTGAGCATACTGAGAATAAATTAAATGAACAGGGAGATGACAGTGGCTAATACTCTATTTGTAGGGTCCGTGCATTCTGCTAGCGCTAATGATTTTTCTGCTGTTTTTCCTTCTTTTTCCACATAAAGTAGCTTGGCTGACACCACACTTCAATGACATCTCTGCTTAGTACCAAATGTGACTGAAAACAGGGAAATGAATAAATGTTTGCTTGCCAGGAGTGGAGGCGGATCCTCTTTTCTTGGCTGAGCTGATGATGGTTTCAACAATACTTTCTCTTAGCAATATGGTAACCAAACTTAAACCTCTTAGTAAAGAGCAACTTCCAAGTTATGCAAGAAAATAATATTGCGAATTCCTTCTTAGAATACATGTATGATGAAAATTCTCGCCCCAACTACTCCAAAGAAGAGTTAGGCATCTCAGGTTATCAAAGGATTTCCTCATCCTTTGAGCTTCTAATTAATATTAAGTTGAGTATCAATGTGTTCCAGATTCCAAATTACTTTTTGCTTTCTAGCTATCAAATGTCCAGCAATCCTCCTGATATGGTAGCATTATGAGACAGGTTAAAGAAAAATCAAGCAGCTATTCTTACCATGGCTTTTGTTACACACCGAGATATACCAGTTTCTTATAGCTGATACATGAAACACAAGCACAGGGGAGGAAGGGGAGTTGGAAATTACGTTTTTTAGACATTTATATATGAGTAGAAAGTTTCTAAATGACTATAACATACTTTTCATGTACAGTTATTAAATAATAATTTGGCTATACAGCAATCTGATTTCTTTACTGAATATAAAAAACTAATTATAGGATGAGATATTATTGGGTAAACACATTCATGCAAGAGATAGATTAACAGAGTTTTGTAAAGGAAATTATTTAGTGCCAATTTGCTACTTTTGCATTTCAGTCAGCTAGGACACATTGAGGTAGGGGCTATTTTGTTTGTTTGTATCTAAGTACAATATAATAAGTATATTTCTGTCACAACTACAACTCTGTGAGGGTTAATCTGAGAGAGAAGGACTGACCCAAAGTCACCCCGTGGACACTGACTGTGAAACAGAACATGATTTACTGGTGTCACATTCGTGGATTTAATTTTCAAAACTGAAGAGAATGAATATGCCAGCTAGATTTGACCTGAAGGACACAGTCAGAATATAAGATTGGTGTGTAAGGAACAGATTTAGTATATGTAACTTACAAAAAAAGAGAACGTGAGGAACTGTAAGAGCTATGAGACACTATGAAGCCCCCATCCCTGCCCCAAATTCTTAAAATTTCAAAGAGGAAAAGATCCAGGTGGTTTTCTATCATGGTAGCTCAGACAGAGAGGATGAAGAGCAACAAGAAGGACACAGTATAATTGAATGCAGACCATCATCAATTAAGAAAGGACAAGGAAAAGCATCTTAGTAAAAAATACAGGAAACAAAAAGAAAAGAAAAATACCTTTAAGAAGATCAGAGAAATCACAGGCAAGTGTACAGCTAAGATTCTTTGGATACTCCTGATCTAATGCAGGCAAATACAGTGAAAGGAGATGAAAAGACTATATGGAACCACTTTACAAAAAGCAATAGGCCAGCTGCCAAATAGGAAAGCATGAGGCACAGGAGGAACACCACTGGACTGCTGAAAGCTGCAGGAGAAGAGGCAGTTAAAGTGCTACTAGCAATTTGTCAACAAACACGGAACAAAACTTTATGGCCAAGGGACTGTTAGAGATGGAAGTCTGGACCTAGACCAAAGAAAAGATATGCCAGAGAAGGTGCTGATTACTGAACCAGTGCACTATCCAATTCAAATCTTTATTGGCATTACACATTAAAATACAAGGAATTAGCATATCGTAAGGATAACAGCAAGAAAACAATACTCAAAGAAAAATTTGGTTACATTTCCTTTTGAACACTTCCTCCAAGAATTTAGCAATGATTTCGGGTATAGCATCACAAAACAAATACCGGCAGGATGACGCAGGATCCACATCATTCAGTGGGTATTTACACTGCAAGGGTCTTAAGAGCAAATCATGCCGAAGAGACACAAATAAATGGCAATTGAAAATGATATGATAGATTGTATCTGGGCTGCTACAAAGACAGAGCCTGTTGTGGATGGGAATGCGTTTATACCTTCCAAGAAGCACCTTAGAAGGAAAAGCATTCACTCTAGCCAAGAAAAAGGCCCTTCGCTGGGAAAGTAACACGAGATCATTTAAATAGTGCGCCATTTTGCCCAATTGATTTTCTATACCAAGCATGGCAGGGGAACATACACGAGGTTGAGCTGGTCTGAGTTTATGGTATTCTAAATCCAGAAGTCTTTGTTTAATAGTGCTAAATATAAAGCTTTCATCTGAAAGGTATAGGTCCTCAATTGCAATTGCAATCCCAATCTGCTTGAACTTGGATATAATATGTCGCGACCACAGCGAGATGTAATTGTCTTTATTGAGATATGACAGCAGACTTCGAGGGGCTGCTCTAAATAAGATTCTAAGCCAATATTTAATGGTAAATATCCAGGCTTTAGTTTCGATTAAACTTTGACCCATTTCTAGGCAGATTATGGGATAAGAGACGCAATTAGGTGCCCCTAAGAGCTGCCTCAGAAAGGAAGCCTGTATACCTTCCACTTTAGCGCTAAAAGCTCTCAACCAAAGAGGGATACCGTAAAGTATTTGAGAGAGAGATTTGGCTTTAAATATCCTAATTGCTGCCGGTACAAATTGATTGCCTCTTGTAAAATAG